CAACTCGTCGACGCTTTCCGAAACGTATCGGAAACGCAGTCCCCAGAAATGATTTTTCTACGTTAAAAATATATACTGGTCAGTAACAATGTACGTGTTGGTCGTAGAATCTCGTCGATTCTCTTTGCCATATTAAAACGCGACGGTCGGAAGTCAACGTAGCCGATCGATTACCGGCAACCGTTGCCTGTTTAAGGTCGATTCACACTATACGGAACGTCAACGTCACGTCACAGACCGGAAAACGTCACGTCAAAATATGTTACTATGTATTTATATCACAATGTTCACATACACCGTCATCAATACGTAACGTCACCGTCACGAAGCGGCAACGTTTATCGAAAACTATATTTTGACGTGATGCAACCGGTCCGTTCTTGTCCGTTCGGATAGTATGAATGTGACAACTGAACGTTTCCGTCAAATTTCAATAATTATATTTTAGTTATTTTTTCATTATTTTATCATGGACGATGAAAATTTAATAGAAAAAATTCGTTTATATGATGAACTTTACAATATGACACATAAGAAGTACAGTGATAATCATCATAAAGATGTAATATGGACGAAAATAGGAAAATAATTGAATTTCAGGGGATAAATCTATGCTTCTAAAATAAGTTCTAAATTTTTGTACCAAATTTCCAAAAGCATTTTCCGATACACGACGAGCTCGAGACAATCTATAATTGAATACTTGTTTTTCGATGTCCCCGTTTATCGTTGAGCCTGGATATGGTCTAAGCAACCTCAGTAAACTGCAATGATTCCTACAATTTGACGCTTACGTTTGACATTTTGATGTGAATGTATAACACATTTAACGCGACGTTGCCGGTCTGTGACGTGACGTTGACGTTCCGTATAGTGTGAATCGACCTTTACAGTTACACGTCGAACGATACACTTACCGCATATTGGTGTACTTCGGAATGCATCGAAACATCGTCGTACTTCTATAACATTGTTATAGTGTTCGATACATTCATACATATGTCGAAAGGTTCAATCGACATGACGACTTTACCGTTGAGCGGAAGAACGCCGAACCGCAGTTTGTGCCTAGCCGATGGCGGGCTAATCCCGATACGTTGGCTACGTCTACGGCGGCGGGCGGGTCCGCTGCCGTGTTCGACCGTGCGGCAACCCGCGACGCCATTTCCCGGACAATGTGTCGGGGTTTCGGTCGGACGGACGGGTTTACGCAGACCAACACGTACGCGGACGTCGGCGTCCAAACGGCCGGACCGCCGGGCACCAATGTAACGTGCACCGGGACGGACGACCAGTCGCCGCCACTGGACGTCGGACCGACGGAACCGCGGCCGGAGACCGAAGACCGTTCTGTCGGATCTGCGGCGGTGGAAACCGTGTCGACTTTCAGTTTCCCCAGCACCATCGTGTCCACGGCACACCCTGACAGGTCCGCGTTCAAGCCGCCGATGCCGTTGCGTTCCGACGCCGACGGGAAACTGGCCGCTTGGCGGTTCCAACGGCGACCGGTGACCGAAAAGCTTTACTTCTCGGTGTCCACGTGCCCGGACGTGTTGGCCGCGCACGTGGCCCGGAGATGCGCTTTCGGCACGGTCGTCGACCCGTTTCGCGCCGTCGGCCGCCTGGCCGTTCGGCTGGCGCGCACGTGCCGAAAAGTGATCGCCGTGGACAAGGAGCCAGCCAAAATACGGTTGGCCCGCCGGAAGGCCGCGGAGTTCGGAGTCAGCTATCGAATTGAGTTTCGGGTTGGCAACAGCTTCGCGACATTATCCGGAGTAACCGCCGACGCGATGATCACTTCGCCGCCGTGGGATCGGAACCGGCGGTTAAATGTTGAAGATTTGTGCAGCCGCCAGAAGGGCGGATCAGCCGGCATTCTGAAGATGACGCGTGAGATCGCCCCTAGAGTCGTTCTCCACGTGCCCAAAACAATCCACATGTCTCAGACTGTGGAAGTGTCGAGAGACCATGGTTTTGGGCGCGTGGAGATCGAACACGTCAGCGTTGAGGAATGGAAGAACTCCTCAAACGCCATTCTGTATCTATAGAAGTCGAACGAGGGCGGGGGAGCGATCGAACCGACCGTGTCCAAAGTGGTGCTAGATCCGAATTCGGTAATAACGCCACAGAGACCATATGCGTAATCGCATGTTAAATTGACAGTAGATGGAAGACATTGTGATCATCAATAAATTAATAACTCTTGTACTGTTTACTTATTTTTTTATTTTTATTTTTTTTACTTTGTTTTGCTTTTCGGAGTTTTTTGCCGTGTTGTTCTTTTTTTTCCTAATAAAGGTTAATTTTTTATTTTTTATTACATAGTACTAATTTTTGTCAACTGTTAAGCTACACCAAATCAAAGTAGTAACATTCAAAATGCATTCATGCAATGTATATTTTAAATTTATTACAATTACAATATTTTTTACTATAACGAGCGTATCGGCCCATCTCATCAAAATATGTAGAGGCTCACTGGGCTGAACCGTCCCTATAATTTGCGGGGCCCACAATAAAATATGATGCATTCCACACAAAGTGCAATAATTACATTTTCGTAACATCTCCCATTTCAAAACCAAGGCGCCCACTGACAGCTATTTTTGTTACTATTAATGGTTTTACATTTATAAAAAATAAATTGACGAAGGAAAAGGTGGAGGTGGAAAAAGCCAGGAAAGAAGGCACGGCTGTGGATATCGCCAAACGGGAGACCAGAAGTCGGGTGATGGAAATATGGCAATGGGAATGGAACGAGGCAACAACTGGACGTTGGACGCACAGGCTTATCTCAGACGTAAGGCTGTGGGAAAACAGGAAGTGGGGCCAGGTTAATTACCATGTTACTCAGATTTTGAAGAGACACGGCTGATTCAATGCCTATCTACTAAGATTTAAGAAGAGAGACGATGCGGTCTGTATGTATTGTGGTCATCACCGGGACGATGTGGAGCACACATTCTTTGACTGCGATCGATGATGGCAACAGAGGCGTGAGCTGGAGGTGAAATTAGTCTGTGACGTTACACCTGAAACCATCAGTGAGGCTATGACGGCCTCCAAGTCCAAGTGGGAAGCAGTGAAAAGGTTCATCATCACTATCCTGTCCAGGAAAGAAGTTGATGAACGGAATTTACAAGCCACGGCGGTAGTTAACCTGTACATTTCTTCTCGAACTTAGTTAAATTGCATACAATGTGGCTTGAAGAGCATTTTGTGGGGATAGAGCTCCGAATTTGTTGTATTTGTGCGTATGTAAGTGCTAGTGAGAGGGATATTGGCTCTCCACTGAACATATAAACATGTATTGCTGTATTGATTGTTTACGAATAAACGATGGTTAGCAGGGGCAAGTAGTGTGACGCAAAAGCAAACAGTTCGCTTCTGCTGATCGGTGCCAAAAAAAAAAAAGTTTGATAAGAGGATTTAAATTCATTGATAAATGATGAGAGTGGAGCTGACATACAGTGCCGAATCTAGTAAATTTTTTATCCGGGGTAAAGTATGAAATTAGCGTCCTCCCCCTTTGTTATGCTCACAATTATACTTATGTACCAGTTAAACTCTAAAGAAAAAAATCGAATAGAATAAAAGAAAAATGATATCTATTTGCTAGATTACAAAAATATGTATTAAATAAAAAACTTTAAATACAAATTATTACAAACTAATACATAAAAATAATCATTATATAATAATCAAACGAATTATCATTAAATTTTGATTTTTCTTGCTTTTCTGACGGCAAAATCGTTAATTATATCGTTATAATCCAAATTTTTGTCAATTTGATTTTCGATTGAAATAATTGAATTTGATTGTTGTTACATGTCGAAAAAAATTAATTTATTAGTATTGTTAATCGGGTTTTAACATCATGTGTTGTTTGATTATCGTAATTTATAGTTTGTAGATATCCTATTAGCAATAAAATATACTAAAATGAGTCGCAGAAAATATATTTAGTAGAAAAATAATATCCATTGGGTTTTTGAATTTTTCTCATTGTTGTTATAACCATAAAATCAAATGGAAATAGAAATTGTAATTTGTATAATACTTTTATTATAAAATTAATAAAAACTATTAATATATATACACAACTTATTTTGTAATTTGGCGCTCCCCGACCAAAACTTCCGGACAAGTGCCCCGGTTCGCCCCCCCCCCTAGATCCGACCCTTCTGACATATTTTGGTTGTGGTTTTGATTGAAGTTGATGTCTTGAGTATGAGAAGAAGAATCATGGTTTAATGGGGGAAAATGTTGTGAGTAAGCTTGGTACGTAGTTTCGTGGGTAATCACTTGTGTTAGTTGATGTGGAATGGAACTTTTATTTGTGATTTTTTTGAAGGATTCCCTAATAATGTATAGTACTTATGCAGAAGACTATTCACTTTTATTATCGTGTATACTGTACAAGTATTTCGTACTTGATTTAATTTAGTTAATAATATATTATTAATTAAAAGTTAAATTATATATTATTATAAGTAAATTGTTGTATTTAAAAAAAAACACAGGATTTTTCAAGTACGTAAGCGCGGGGCCCCGCTCGCCCCGATCTAGGGACGGCCCTGCCACTGAGAAAGTCCCGGTATTTCGGCAAGTCTATCCACCCCTGTTCAATTGATAAAGAATAACAATTTTGAGTGAATTTCATACACGTCTTGAAAAATATTTATTAGAATAAAAGGTACAATGATTTAAAAAAAGTAAATAAATGCTTTTCTGCATTTATCATAGGCAACTATTAATTTAGAATAATGAAAAATCCCTATGAGGTTCACTCTGAAATATCGTTTTCTACAAATAAAGTAATAGGTGTTTTAACTGTTTAATCACTTTCAGAGGCCGTTTTGTTAGTTTCCTGTGAGCATGTTATTTGCGATTCGATTTTATTTTACTATCTGTCATGTGCTGCCATCTATAGGTATATATAATGAGGTGACGGAGATTATGGAATTTCTCACTACGCCATATCGTCTTCTGTATTCACCCGCATAAGCGTTCAACTAGCTTTCGTAATTGTTATCGCTTCCACGAATAATCAGATCCAAAACGAAGACAATATAAATTGTCAACGGACTGTCTACCGCACGCAGATCTTGGTCGTGGTATCTATACATGGGTCATATCCACGGTTTAAGAAATCTTAAACCGTGTTCTTAACTTAAAATGCATTCTGTGCACATGTTATCACCGTTTGTTGCTTGATAAAAACAGTCACGTGCAATTGTATATCCGAATAGTGTAACCGTTTATACCTTTTATTTTGTCACAGTGTCCATTCATTTGACGTCTCTTGATTCTTGTTTCATGGGTGCCATTTCTGATTCAATTACAATGGTGTACTGACAAGGGTGAACATTAATTTGGAATTATGTTTTTAATTTTGTCTGTTTTATGATTTAGTTTTTGCTTTTATTACGTTTATCTGTCGCAATGAATCGAACACGGTTTCCTTGTTGCAGCCGATGTAAAATTAATTACAATATTGGAGGTAATTAAAGTATACTGCAGTGCCCATCTGTAACTATTTTTCGTTAATGTGTTATTTTTTATCATAAATTATAATGCGTGTTCTCATTTTTCTTTTTCTATATTATCTTAAATATAAATTTAATTACAAAAAAAAAAAAATTAATATGTTTTTTGTATAACAGGTTTATGCATGTAATTTGTATTACAAATATTTTAGTATTAACTTAATCGTTTTTATAACCATGCAATAATTGAAATAGTTGTTTGATGCAATATCAAATTATTATTAAATTATACGATGACCTACTATCCATTTGATGAAAAGACAAAATAATGATATTAAAGTACAAAACTTCTAACAAATAGTGAAAGAAAATTTAGAGCTTATTTTTTCTTAATTTCTTATTTATATAACTGTTGAATGTCTCATAATAAATTTACTTTTTTAATAAGCTATTATAGTCTAATCTAACCTAACCTGCTAGCTCATGTCTAGGAAAATAAAATCTTGTTTCATAAAAAAACCTTTTTCCTACTTAAAGCTGAAGAGTGTAATACAGGTAGATATTTGCTGCTTATAATATAGTATATATACAGCTAATATATTTCAGCTGATTGGGTTGCAAATAATGCAAAATTCATTAATAACCCATAAAGGTTAGTTTAGTTACTTTCTTGTAAATTAAATGTATATTCTTTTTTTTCTTATGGCTACGGTTTTTGACAATATTTTTAAAATTACTAGGGAGGGGTAAAAGCTTTTTTTTTCAGATACCTGCATAAAGAAAGTAGTTGCTTGTAACCAAGATTTAAATTATTAACAGTATGCATTGTGACTGCCATCTTTTTAGTCGACAATTCTGTCTTTCCTGTTCATTAAATTTCATTTTGTTATTTATATTTCTGTAAAAATAAAACTACTTTATTTTATTTGATGTTATGATTGAAAAAAATTTTTAAGTTTGACCATCAAAAATATTTATGTTGACTTACATTGCTTATGATTAATTTTAGATTCCAATAAATTCAAAATTCCCATGTTATTAAACTGTGGACATGATTTATGTAAAGGTTGCCTAAATTATCAATTTAAGAAAGATAAGAAAGTTATATGTGATGTTTGCAATGCTGACTGCAAGTATGACATTTTTTTAACATACATTTTTTAATTAAATGTTATTGAAAACTATCATAATTAGTTGACATTTATTTATTTTTTAATTTTTAAAATGTGTTTATTGTAATTATAGAATTAAAAATAATGAGCAGTTATATGAAACACCCATACATTATTATTTAGTTGGTAAAGTATGGTACTTAATGTCCCATAAAAAAAAAGATATTTTACGTGAAATTTGTAACTTGAAGATGGACAATTTAATAAGCGAATCTTCAAAAAAAGTTAAAAGTATGTAGTAATAATTTATTTTTATTGTTTTAGTAATTTTACTTATTGTATTTTATTTGTATAGAAAATTGCCAACTGTGTCACAAGTTTGCAAACACTTTTTGTGTACAATGTAATGATGTGTTTTGTGAAGTTTGTTTTGATAAGGTACCTATTTATTTTTTACTAAATATTTAAAAAATAAATTTAATTTGTATTATTTTATTTATGGTTTAAATGTTATAGGTTCATATGGACAATCCAATTATGTATAATCATGATGTAGAAAAAATAGATAACATTCATCCCGAACTTCCTCTAGAATCCAAATGTGATTTACATTTTAAATTAATTGAATATTTTTGTGTAAAATGTCAATTACAATTATGTTCAGTGTGTATTGTTAATGGTCATCAACAACATGATATTCAATCTTTGAAAGAATATGTAAGGATAATTATATTTTATTAATTCAATAAAATATTTTATAATGTCAAAACTACTATCCAAAATGAGGAAGTATATTAATACATATCATTAAATGTCTAAATATAATATATATCCATGATGGCATAACTAACATAGTTATAGGTATAAGCACTTATTTTATTGTATTGGTTCAATCGTAAAATTAAATTATTTAAAATAAATACTGATTGTTAATTTTGATGACCTTTTTTTCATTTTTGCTTTCTTAACTTTGGCCTCCCAAATTTTAAAATTCTAAAAATTGGCCCTCTATTTACTTTGAGTTGCACCCATCCCTGCAATATAGGATCAACTATGAATAAAAGTCATTATAGTTATCATTTTATATAATTTAGTTTCATTTCATACATTTTTTGATACAAATATTTGAATATATTATACTGATGAAACTGTGTGTAACATTTTTATAAATTTATCAGATATTAGATTAATTTTATATTAGTTATACAATTTTCTTTAAGTTTATTTTTATTTGTTTCTATTAATTTTGTTTTGAAACTAATATCAAATTGAATCTAATTTTAAACATAATTTAAAAAAAAAAACTTATGAAATATAAAAATTATTTTGTTAAACAATTAAAAAATCATTATCTTTAATTATTGAAACAGATACTCAATTTTTTTTTATCTACTATTTATTTATTGAGTAAACATTCATAGGCTCAAGTACAGTACACTATATATAGGCTCGGATTAACATTATCGTAAACCCTAGGTCCTTAGTCTTTGCAGGGCTGTTGTTCAGTATTTAAATGGTTAAGAAACCTTCTCTTTGGGAGAGAAAGTGTAGAATCTCATGCAGTAATAAGCTTTTAAAAGCAATAATATTTACAACATTAAAATCAAATCTAAACTTTTATATGATAACTATTATAAATTTTTATACGATAAAAGTTTTAACATATGTTAAAAAAAATTAATTTTAATCCAAAACATATATAATATAAATTGTCAAAAACTATAAAAAAAATTTTTTATACCAATTTACATACAATAAAAATTGTAGCCACACATTTTTGTTGGCCCAAAAATGTTTGTAGGCTCTAGGCACAGTGCCTATAGTGCCTGTGTGCTGATACCACCCTGACTATATTCAGTGTGATTTCTCTTAAAATGCAAGTTGTGTTGCGCTATGAGTACAATAAAATAATTGAAAATGTGAAAACCATTGAAAAATGTGTATTTAGACATTCTTCCTAAAACCGCAATCAATCCGATGTGACTGGACAGAATAATTTAGTGTTATCTTTAAAAGGAATCATACGGTATATATTTATAATTAAATGTGAATGAAACAACAAATTGGTAATATTATTAAATGATAGAAAGAAAAAGAAAAATCATTATGCTACAATATAAAATAGCAAATAAATATTAATATAATAAATATTACACTATTGAGTAGTAAATAATGTTAAAAAAACAATAATTTAACCTAATTTGTTATTAATATTTTTTAGAGTAAGAACAATATGAAACGTTTAAATGAATATACATTAAAAGGTGACATTTTAATAAGAAACTTAAAACGTTATAGAAATGTAAGTATTGTTATTTCATTATTTTTAATTAGTAGATTTTTAAATTTAAAGTAATCAATATCTATACCATGGTTCACTAAATGGCAGGCTGCATATGGCCCGCGAACAAATTTTATCCGTCTCGCAGACAAAAAATAAAAATACATATTTCGACAACATTTTATGTGTTATTGTTGTAAATTATTTTTGTTTAATTTTATTGGTTTTCACCGACAACTGTTGATAAATTGGCCCCAAAGCATATCTTATCTAAACTTTAATTGGGTCATTGGATGACTGCTAGTTGATTTTATGCCTACGTAGTCAGTTCTATTATCCTATTATATGTTGAAGATATGTACTTAGAATTTTAATGGCCCGTGAAATATTTTCAGATTCCTAATGTGACCCTTCAAAATATTAATCGGTGACCACTGATCTATACTATGTATTTGTATTTTAATATATATTATTTACTACTCAAGGAACAAATTTTATTTTGTATGAGTTATTTTTTATTAATTTATTTTTTGCCTACTTTTTGGGATAAAAAATTTAAATGTATAGTCTCGCATAGTTTTTCTTAAGAAAGAATTCAAGGCTTGTAACTTTAATAAAGTTTGAAATGAATACATAAAATAACCAAAATATATATTTACAATTTAATTTTTAATTACAAATCTAATACTATATAATTACTTGAAGAATGTATAAATATTAATAATAATAAAAAAATGTATTTAGAATGTATTTGATTCACAATGATACTTTTTATTATTTTAATATGATATAATTTGATATTATTATATTGATATTATTATTACTTTATAAATCAATATCAATAATATGCTGCAAAACCAAAAAAGATCCAACATTTTAAGGGGTTTTTTTTTTTTAGAGCACGGTTTCTGTTGCCAAAAAGTGCATTGAAGGAAACTAAGAGTCTTTAAAACTATTTTAATATCCCTTTGTCCCTACATATTGTTTGGAATACTGTTTAATTTCTTTTAATATTTATTTTCTTGTGTTTTTCCCTAAATATTTTAATATTAAGACCAGAATAATGTTTCAATAACTTTTGATAACAGAATTAGATATATGTTTTGTCACGAGTTCTCAGTCGCATTTTACTTTTGACGTGAAATGACCAGCTAAGAGAAGAAATTACCATTGATACTTTCTTCTTAGTTGTTATTTAAAATAATTTCAAAATAAAAAAAGCTCAGTTGCTGATTTCTCCTATAAAAAAGAAAAAAAATTATTTATAAATTTAAAAAATTGCACCAGTGTTAATTCTTCCTTATTTATGTTAATTTTTATTCACATACAAATTTCAAGTACCTTTTAAAATTCTTCATTGCTTTCAAATTTAAACAAATAATATAATCTCTATTTCATCCCATGCATCATGTATTTGAACAGATTTTCAATAATTTCTTAATATGGTTAATATTTGTATACATATATAAAATATTTAAACATACAAAAAAATATACTTTATTTGGGTGAAACGTAATTTAGGCATAAACACACAAAACTTAGGATTTATTGTAGTCTTATAAAATTATTATTCAATACTCCAAGTAGTGTCATTTTTCTATGTATAAATAAAGATATTTAGTTTTTAATTTTATTAAATTAATGAAAAAGTAAAAACAAAGCAAATTAATAAATACAATCACTTTGTAAAGTAAAGAATAATTTTAATTATAAGTATAATTGTTTGAATACAATTTTGATCTTTGGTTTTTAATACATCCGTGTACAAAAATGAGCAATTGTAGACCAAAAAATTTTGACAATAAATAATAGGATTATTAATTTAAACTTATATATATTTACATCTTAATTATAATTCTTATCTATTATTGCACTTATATTCAACTTAATTTATGATTACAATTCCTCTACTATGTTATAGTTACGTATTTGAATATTAGTATACTGGAAATTATATAATGACATATATTAATCTATAAAATATTAATTAAATCTTGGCACAAATAGTTTATTTAATTATACTTTTTATATCTTAAAGTTAATAAAATAAAAATTTGAGTTAATTTGAAAGTTCCTAATTAATAAAACTATAATTGAAATTAAATACTTCTAGTATAAGATTATCTAATCAAATAAGACAAACTAACTATAAGGTTTATTTCAGAAAATATTTAGTTCATCATAAGTTATTTAAATTTTAATGTAACAATAAGTCTTGTCAAACTCAAAAAAAAAAAATTTAACCATGATATGTTCATATTAATTAAAATCTACCTATATACCTAACTAAATAGTTTAGAACTTATCTCTGATATGATTACTATCTTTGAATAGTTGCATAGATTATTAATTTAAATTGAGGTTTATACAAAATATAAAACTGTTATAATAGTTAAAATTATACCTTATGAACATAAATGAACAAAGTAGTTTTAATATTTAAAATGGCACATTTTTAGGCCTGATTATTTTACAAAATAAATATTAGACTAAATTGTGTCTCAATATAAATTTCATTGAGCTTTCTTATAATAATTATTAATATTAAAATTACTTACCAAACATGTATATTATATTATTAACCATAAAATTAAAATTCATACTTGTAATATAAAAACTACATAATGTCTCAAATTTAAGTGTCAACATCAAGCAATTGTTGATATGGTGTTCTAACTGTATCTGGTTCAACAGTAGTTATATTCATTATTTGCAGTATTGGTTCTCTTTGTTGGTTTCTCTTTTGTTCAGTTTCTTTGAATTTATCTTCTAAATATTTATCTACCAAAGGTCCTTCAAAATCCTCCGGAAAACTGGGCTTGGAAGGTATTATATACTTGTATAAGCGTTCATTTAACACATAAAGTTGAGCTGTAGTATCACATTTCACATTAAACCACCAATCACATGTTAGTGTAACTTGATTGAATATGGTTCCATTTGGACATAAAAATGATGCTTGACCACCATTTAAATCACAATAATGCCATACCTAAAATTAATTTTTAAATTATTTAATTTTTGAAATTATACTTTACTTTACTTATTTTTTATTTCCTTATATGGTTTAGTTAAATTAAAAAAAAATATTCTTTATTAAGCTTTGCATATTAGTTTTTTATTTAATGATGTACATTTTAATAAATATAAGTATTATTTAAATTAAAAAGTACAATGGTTCTCATCCTGGTGGATCAACAACATTTCAGAGGAAGTGTGAATATTTTTAAAACCATAACACCTGAAATTGTTATTTCTGATTACTTATATTTTATTGGGCGTTATTGAGTAATTATGATATCTTCTATTTACGCTCACTGTAATTAATTTATGCCCACTATTACAGTTATTGTCAAATATTAAAAAAATTACTAAAGCTAAACTATACTAACCCTCTTATTAATTTTATTTAATAGTAATAAGTTTGAAATTTAATATTTAAAAATTTGAAATTTGAATAATATTTTTTACTTTTACAAAGAAATCAATAACAATTTAATGAAATATTAATTATTTATTGATTAGTTAGTTAAATCATAATACTTAAATCTTGTAGTGACAAGGGGGTCGTGGACTTCAAAAGGTTGAGAGCCCCTGATCTAGTGAAAATCAGACAATTAGAACCATATGGCTAGAATCCACTATTTATGTTTGTATGCGCTTCAATTAAATATAAATTATTTAAAAATAGTTATTTGATAGTAATATGTATCTATAATTATGAAGAAAATGGAAAAGTAAATAATTCTATATCCTGCATTTAGTTAATATTATATTTTCCGTTTCTAAGGTTGATTTTGTGGATAGATGTTAGGGATGGGCAAAATTGTTTGAACATCGATATTCTATGTATCGGTGAAAAAACATCGAAAAATGTTTTTTTCCCTCTAGAGCTGCTATCTGTTTACACCTTATTATCTGTACAGTGTACTATTTTCCTAATTAAATAATTGATTCAAGAGTTAAAATACTATTGTTAAACTTATATTTTTTAAATAGATATTAAATACTTATAATCAGGGATCGTAAGTTTATACATTCGCATGTTTTCTTTGCTACAACGGAAAATAGCTAATTGTGATAAAAATCCGTTTTGTTAACAATGGTAATAAAAATCCGAAGTTTAATAGAGCATTTTTTGTGTGTGTGTTGGCATATTTGGCATATACGAATAGTTGATTTTTTTTGATTTATTAGCGCATATTATTTTATCTAAATTCAACAAAATCGTTTTCTATGGAAGTCAAAAAAAAATTAGTTCAATAAATGTTTGAATTCATTCTTATTTACTATTCCGGACTTATTTATAAAATTTTGGTATTTTATCAATATTTTTATTTTTTATCACATTAAGTTCTAGGGTGGTTACTAGTTGCGTTCCGCTGTAAAAATTTCTTCCGAATTGCGGCCAGAGTTTTTTTGGGGTGCAATGAATTGCAGCCCGAGATTTAAAATTAAATTAATTTAAATTAACTTATGTAAATTTAAACTTAAAAAGCTTAATTTTACTTCACATTTATTAGATACTGCAGGTAGGTTCAAAATAATTTTTATTTAAACATTTTGGCACTGGTAAAAACATACATGATATTTTTTAAAGTTAAAAAGTTTTTTTGACATTAAAATCTGATATTAAATGTATTATTTTTATTAAAAAAAATTCACCACTGGTAAATACGTATATAATATTTATTGAAGTTAAAAATGTTAGTATAATTTAGTAAAATTCTTAGGTATTATGGCACAGGTAAAGACTTATATAATGTATAAATTTAAATTTGTCAATCTTCTAACCGCTTCATAGCATTTCTAATAAATGTTTCTTTTTCAATTATATTTTTTCTGCTAGTATTTAAGTGAGTGGTTCTTAATTTTATTTAGGTATCCTGTACATTATACAGAATATCGATGAATACAAAAAATTAGGATGAGCACTTTAGAACAAAGCGTTGAATTTCGAATGAAAAGCCTCACAAAATATTTTATCAGTCAAGATTAAATTATCTAGAGTTAGAAAACCCAACTCGTCTGTACCCAAAATAAATTCGGGCCGCAATTCGAATTAGACTTTTTTTCGTTGATATCTTTGGGACGCAACTAGTATGCAGCCAAGTTTTATAAGTTAAAAGCAGTGCCACGGAAACAATGTTATTGCGCACCACTACCACTCTCCTTTTATTGACGTGTCCATTTCAATCTATCTATTTTCGTTGCAACGTATGTTCATTAAATATAATTTTAATAAAATGTAACCTAAGAAATAATATAACTTTTAAAAATATGAATGGATAGTCCTTATAATTTAAAAAAATGCTTTAAATCCTATATATATTTTTTCGTGCATAGGATTTTTAATGCATATTTGATCACTTATTAGTACAATATTGCATGCTTATTTATGCGTTTTTTAGTGCATGAACTTAAGAGCCCTGATTATAACTGTATAGTTTATACTGTATAACGATTGTTGTATACTGCATACTAAAATAATACAATAAAAAAAATTCGAACATTTCGAACATATACATCGATGTTTAATCGATTAATCGAAAAAAAAACCATCGATGTCAAAACATTGATATATCAACCTAAAATATTGATGTTTTATGCCCATCCCTAATAGGTGTACTATAATTTAAACCTTTGAAGAACATAAAAATGTAGGCTCTATTTAAATCTCATATTTAATTATACAGTATTTGTATAAAATAATGTTTATTACTTGACAATGTGTTTCTGGATCTCCAAAGAACCCTTTGTATCTTTGAGTTTTACAATCAAAGCTAGTTTTAGGTATAACTGAGAGTATTGGATAATCTACTCCGGGTCTTCCTTGATTTCCTTCATAACTTGAATCATACTCGTCAATAGGATCCGGGCGATATACGGGCTTAGGTTTCATATGTTGTACTTGTTCATCTGCTTCATTTTGTAATATTTGTAATACAGCTGACAATGTTTGTATACTGGAACCGATGTTCTCTGCTGTTATCTTATTTGATAGTCGATTTCCCAAATCATAATCATTTAACAGCTCATTAAGTGCTCCATATTTATCTGTTGTAGTTGCAATTGGTGTTGTTGGCATTTTTGGTTTGGGTCTTCTTAATTTTTTGCCTTTAGTTGAAAATATCTCTTGTTTTTGAACTGAGTAATGAGTTGGTATTGTTGGTATAGTTGGTAAAAATCCATGGTCGTATTGAATTGGATTTGGTTGAAAATTTGGTCTGGGATTTGTTTGAAAAATTGGTCTGGGACTAGTTTGAATATAATCATAATAATAATTATAAGTTTTTTCTGTTTGAATAGTATATGGTATTTCAGTTGTTGGTACTACAATAGGTCTTCTAATTTTTGGAGAACTAGGGAATCTAAGATATGTTGCCGTTGTATGTTGTTGAGGGAGTTGATTTGAAATTTGAAAGTTATGTTGATTATGGGTAGGTGAATTTTGTTGTGGTTTCCTTTCATTTTGGTAGTAAAAGTTATTTGTCTGAGGCCTAGGTGTGTTTTGGTTTGTATTTTGATTTTGTTGTTGATAATTTATGTCATTGTCATTGTTGCCCACTACATAATACGTCACGTAAGGAACTAAGCGCCGAATACGTTCTGCTGTTGATAATACTGCATTTACATTTTGGCTTTTAATCGATATGTTTTGATTTCTTGAGTCTGCAACATAATAAAAGTTATTAGATAATTTTTATAACTTATACAACTATAAATCAATTAACCTATGATCTAGGGTCCATTATCTACTAATCACGTAAAAGTGTTTAAAATAATAAAAAATATCGTACTGTACACTAAACATTGTCCACAAACATAACAATTACAATTGTTTTTAGTTTCTATTGGTTAAAACCATAGCCGTATTAATCTTCTATACAATATAAATAAACTATATGATTAATAAAAAAAAAAAAGCGAAATTCCGAGGTTCAGTGAGGTACACTGACTGGGTGATATTTTAAACTTGAAACTAATGTACCATTGTTCTTGAAAGAACGATTCTGAGTGAAAGAGAGAGGTCGTGTGAATCAGTTTATTTTTCTAAATATATTTGATGTAGTAGTAATAGAACCAAATTTCTTAATAAGTTAGGTTTAAATTATTTTGGAAATTAAGAAGAAGAAAAAGAGGTTTGTTTTATCAAAGAAGTATAAATTATCAGTCGTTGGCCAACAAAATATAAGTATTATAGAATTTAAAAATAGTTCTGCAAATTTCATGGTTCGTACTACACGCTTTATAATATTAAATATATGTATATTTTACTCTTTTAAGTATTGCCATTTCAGTTTTACAATTGGGTTGTAATGTTCTTTTAATTGTAAATTATATTTTATATTTACTATATTAGAAATTATCATTTATAAATGAAGATGTTAAAAAAACTTATATTTGGTGGATTTGGATATAATTTTATACCTTCCATTTTATTTATTATTATTATTATTTTATTTACTTACTGTCTTTGACCAAAGAATTAATAATAAAACTATAATATTACTATATAATATTATTTTTGATCTAGATCGTGAAAATATAACAGTTAATTACTATAATAAATTGTAAGTTATAAACAATAATGAAACCATTATTATAAATAATATCAAAAAGTTAAAATATCATGTATATTATTATATCAGGGTTAATGATGTTGTTTTAACAATGTATGTGGAAATCTGTTTTGTATAAATTGTATGTTTTTTATATACTTAAATGGTAGCTTCAATATTATTTTAGACATTAAAAATAATATAACCTATAAAAGTTGATTCCATATAAATATGGTACCTGCGTGTAGTATTATTATAGGTGACTATTTCACAATTGGTTCACGAAAAGAATTTCGTGTCATTTATTCACTATTGTCCATAAAACGTAAGTCGTGATCAGAAAATCTCGTTTATTTATCATAGCATTCTGCAAGTATAAATAACTATTTTCGATGTATAAGTATTTTTATCTTTATACATTGAAATGTAAGTATTTGTAAGTCCAATGGTCCACACATAGTATTTTGCTTCTATACCGACAAAATTAATCTTGTAAGACGTTTAAAATAAAATGTAAAAGGGAAATCGCATTGTGTATATACCTATGTAGATATATAGTACAAACGAGTAGTTTCAACTTCAACGGACCTTATCGGTCTTATGAAATTATTTTAATTAAACTAGATGGTCGACTTTATAACAATAATTTATAGTGTATGATTGTTTTTCAAACATAAAATTTGGTATCCGAATTAAATTGAAATGTAATGAATGTAATGAAATCTGATCAATATTGGTTGAACTATAGTTTAAGTATTACATCTGCAGGGTGAAATTAAATATTTTTATTATATCACAAATATGGCTTATTAATTTCAGTAGTATAAAATAAATAAGAATTACAACTGTATTCCTAGAGAAAGTGCTGCTGTTTGTTTATGTGTGTGTCTTGAATTTGTAATTAATCACGACTGCTGTTGCCGAAGTTTGTATGCCAAAGTAATGGTTTCTGACCATTTTTCACGTATAATTCAATTTTGTGTTATGGAACGATTTAATAGTAATAGAAAAAATACAAGTCGAACTGGAAATAAAACTAGTAATATGTCTTCCTATATTGGAACCTTGCATAACTGCAAATTACATTTATAAATAAGTCCAACATATTTTACATGCAATATTATTTTTTACAGTGTGATTTTCTTATTTTCGCACAGTATTCTTTTTACGTAATATTCCAAACAAAATTATTAGGCAATTCATTATTCTTAAAATCTTAATTTAAACAATTTAACGTGCAATATATTGATAGGCTTACAGCTGTGAGAATAAGTATTTAAAACTATAACAAGTGCATGATATCGTATAATATATTTCAAATGGTAATTGTGCTTTATTTTTAATTCGTTTGCTAAGTATATAAGTAAAATTTAAAAAATAGTTACGTTATCATATTAATTAAATTCATATTTTCAATATTTAACTATTTAGTATTCATAAGTTCTAATCATTGGCGATCGCAAAAAATTTATCGGGGGGGGGGGGGGGAACAATTAAATCAAACACTAAAGAGTATATTAAATAAAAATTGGCGTTTTCGCAGTTGTTCAATTGCAAACCTTGTTATAAAATGTTCAACTAATTTTTTCCAGGGGCAAATGTCCCGTCTTGCCCCCCTCTGGGCGCCCATGATTCTAATTATATTAATGGGAATCAATTTTTTTAAAAAAATTTATTTTTATTTAAATATAAAACAATCTGTACAAACGGGCATATCAAGTAATTTTGATGAAGTAATAAGATAACATTAAAAATAACTTTTGAGGTAGTTGCTCATTGGTAATACCTACAAAATTTAAATGGATTTTCGATCACTAATAAAGTAGATCACGATTTTAATTATATTTGAGCCTGCAAGAGGTGATATAGGGAATGCAGGAAAAAATCATGTTTTTTCTGAGGAGTTCAGTACTGAAGATTAATTTGGTGTGAAATCGGTTACAGTGAAGTTTAGCGTAATCTTTGACATTTTTAACTTGTAATCGTAGGTTATTGTGGAGTAAAACGTTTGTCATGTACCATGGAATACTAATTATATTGCGTAGGGGAATATTCTGAAAAGACTAGATGGGATAAATATCGGTGGATGGTTTGTTGGTGAGAATCAATTAAAAGATATATTTAATTTTCACGTGTTATATTGTAGAAAAATGGATGTTGTTGAGCTAGTGCATTATTGAGGTTAAAAAAAATTATTTGGTTAAAAATATTACTAATTAATCTAGAAAATTTGTATTATTTCAAAATGTTGACAAAGTGTTATTATTTAATAGTTGGTTTTTTTTTTAAAAATGATTATTATAGTGGTTATTATTCTGTATGTAATTACCTATTACTTTAAATATCTATTAATGTCGGGCATTGTTTTATGATCAATTATTTTGTATAAAATATGTTAATGAAGACCTTGGCATCTTATTACCTTTTTATTAATTATTTTTATTTTAATATTTTTTTTATTGGTGGAATGAAGTTATTATTAGCTTGTAAATAAATAATAAGTTTATTTTATCAATTATTTATTTGTTTTTTGTTAAATTTAGATGGTTTCATAAGAAATATAACCTTTTTATGACATGCATTTATACTTTGTTATAATTGTAATGATTGTTATTATGAATTCAGGTGATGTAGGGGTGTTATATTTCTTGTTTAACTTAAATCTATTGTATTTTATGTCGTAGCAACTACTTTATGCTCTAATAATCATAAAGCTATTAACCAGTTTTAGGTAGGTATATATTATAATAAATTTTTTATAGTTCAGATTTCAAACTTCAGAACAAATAATTTGTATCAAAATTGAGCTTTTCCATAATGTATAATATACTATGATCATGATTTTATACTTATTTAATCAAATTATTTTCAAACTACTACTAATCTTTGTTTCTACTTAAAATATTTTAATACATTTTTACATTCCTTGCAGAATATTAGAGTGTGAAATATATTTATTGTAAACATGTATTTATAATTAATATGTATATACGTTAACAATAGGATTCTTATGTTTTAAGTAAAACGGAAAATGTATTTGATTGTAGACTATATTAAATTTCTTCAAATGTTTGATTTATATAAATAAATTTAATTATAGATAATATATAGATAATTAAATTTATAGATATAATAATGGATTAATAGATAGATAAATAGATATAGATAATTAAATTAACAACATAACTGTACTCAAGTAATTATTGGTCTAAATTCTAAATTTGTATGTGCATAATACAATGTAATACATGTACAATAATACATGTATACATATAACACAACAACTGAGAATATTCTATTGTTTTTCTTCAAAATAATTATTTTTAGTTATTAAAAATTACTATGTCAATGAAGAATATAATATTTGAATTTAAAGTTATGCAGACATAATTTATGTTCAAAACCCCAAAATAGTTTTTTCTAAATAGCTTAATACTTGAACTATGCATTTTTTTAATTTTTTTTATTATTTATAGGACATTTTAATGTATACAATTTATTTATTTATATAATTCACTATACCTGTATTTATACTCTGCGCGAAGTTTTGGCACAATAGCAGAACACTGCAAAACACGATACTACTAAGCGTGTCCATCTTGTACATAACACTGTGCGGAGGACATGCAGCATTCGATCAGATACTACTGTCCGAGAGTTGGAGTCCTCCTCCTTAAGCTTTGTTGTAGTGAATGGGAAATGGTGGATTCGAAAATAATAAACAACCTTTAGAAACGTATAGTTATGTAATTATACTAACTATATCAGAGAGTTTATTTAACTATCAAAACCATTCTTAACACTCGTTAAAATATTTGCATTGAATAAACCAACGTAATAATATTTTTTATACATTTAAATTAAATTTATTTGTGATTTTTTTTTTTTTTTTAATATAAATGATATAAAGCTGTTTTGTTATGTGTACGGTTTTAACTGAGCCTCCCACATAAATATCGTGATAATTGCAGAATTCTTCATTTAAATAAATATAGTACATTTTTATTGTGGTGAATATTTCTTATAAAACTATCGTATAGTTTTATTTATTTGAAAAAATATTATTTTTAAAATCATAACTAAGTAGGATCATCGTTTAACTAAGTTTTGATCGGTATCTTTTATTAAAAAAAAATAAAGAGCATTAATAATTGAAAATATTCCTGCAACATATTATGAGTACTTAGAGACTTTCATTTTCTTTATTTTGTGTATTATTTCAGTTTTTGTTGATTTTTTTTATATTTGAAATTGTATATTTAATGTTCTTATCGGATTGAGTAAAATGGTTTTTGTAAATATAGTTTTCAAATTTTGATAATAAAAATAATATACGAATTACTATGTAGTTTCAAATTATAATACTTGATAGAAGTGTGGTTTTCTTTTTTTTGTAGAAATTTATATATTTTAATGGTGTTGGATTTCTATTCTATTTGAAAAATTGTATGGTTCTTATAAGTATTATTATTGTTATCAATATCATTATAATCTATTGGAGTGTTTTGAATTTTATAATACTTCGATCATTTTGTAGAACATTGAATACATTGATTTATAATTTTTGCAAATTTATTGAAAGTTTTGCTTGATTGTATAGTAACTCTTCGTTATCCATGAATTTTTTATCTGCCACTGAATTTAGGTTAAAATTTTATTAATGCAATAACATTTTATCTATATTATACAAGCACTGTAGATAATTTAAAAATAAAATCGCAACTATGAATGTATGAGTATGTATGTACTTATTATAGTCAAGCCTCATAACTAAACATGTACGGTTAATAATCGTCAAATATTCAGTTGTCAGTTGATATTTATGAAACTTTGGAGAAATTAAAAAGTGGGAATACCGTAGCGCCATTTGCTAGAAAGAACGAAATGTACAAATATAGTGTTCAAAAAATACGAAAAAAGAAGAAACAACACAACGCGGTGTTGTCGAAAGTAATATAACGTTATTGTGATTTTTAAAATAAAAAAAATAAAATCTAACCTCCTTTTTTACATTGCTTTATGGTCTTGTTATCCGCAATATTTTACTGGAACGTAACCTCCGTGGATAACGAGAGATTACTGTATTATATTTTTAATGAAATAATATTGTTAGGTAAGTACTGTTGTACTGGTAATTGTTTTCTATAGTATTCATGTATAATTGTATATAATTTAAATTATTAAATAGTAATTATAACTGAATAATACATTCTTATGGCAATATACCTTAATTTATTTTGAGCGTGTTAAATGTATGATACAATTGATTAAAAATTAACTATAGAATCGTGAACTTTAACTCAAATTGTATTATGTAAAAAAAAAAAAAAAAATCTTTTTAAATGAAATTTCTAGCATCATATAATTGATGTAACTGCATATGAAATCTGATTCTTAATGAATAAAATTAAATTCAACTGACCGTAAACTGCGGTATAAATTACGCGCTTTGCAGTATTTTATTGATATGAAATATATGATACTATTTGCTCTTCGAATAAGATGTTGTTCAGGTTTTACTGTTACTATTTCTTCAAAACCCGTAATAGAAAATAAAATGTTGCTCCATATTTTTATTTAAAAATGAATAATTAACTAATCAAAAGAAAAATATTTAGTCTATTGACCCTTTAATTTTCCAATATTTCAATTAAATTGTCAAAAAAATTTTGTAATAAAATTATGGAACATGTTCTTTTAGCAAGTTATATTTTTTATAAGTTATTTTAGTTGTTATATTATATTTGTATAAAAACGTTACGGTTATATTATATTTTCTACTATAAATGTAAAAATGATAGTACCTACTTGATTCATTATTATTACTATTTAAATTATTATTTTTTATAGCTATAATTTGTTCTATATGTTTAAAAAAATTATAAATTCAACTAGCATAATATGCTGGTGTAATTGATATTTTTTTATAAATTTTTTATGTATTATAGTTAGATGATTATCGAGTTAAATAAAGTTATTTAAATTAGATATTTGTAAATAATGAACATATTTGTTAAATGTATAATATATAATTTACATGTATTTAGTTAGTTCCGGTTTGTAATTTAATGTTTCATATAGTCGTGTTTAGAGGATTTCACTACTATAGTTACAGTATAGGTCCATTTTCTAAGAATTCGGTATCATTTTTATGATGTTAAAACGAAAGTAGTTGTTGACAGAAAATAACACAACAATAATGACATAATAATATAATGTATTTACGGTTTTAAATATAATTTAAATAATACAAATGCTGTGTATCATGAACGTACAACATATTTTTTGCGTAATAAAATAAAATATTGATATTTTTATAAACATGAATGGTAAATTTTTTTATTTATTTTTTTTTTTTTATAATTATGAATAGGATAAAGGGCTTTTAGCATTTGTATATTTGTTTTGCATAATCTCAAAAATAGCATAGTACGAAATAAATATGTTTCATGCTTTCACAAAGCTAGTCTTGGAATTTACTTTTGTGTATAATTGTATATTTCGAGTTTTTTTTTTTTTGCTTTTTAGGGCATATTTCTGCCATTTTATACTTTTAGATGCAACTTTTAAATAATTTCCGATAATTTTCCTACCTATAGGACGATTTCAAAAAATGTCATTAATTTTGTCAATCTTTGATCTTTAATAATTAAATATTTTATTAACGTAGTCTTAATTCTGCCGTCTACGTATGTACGTCAATTCGTAATTCGTGTCAACTTCCCATATTTGTGTATTGTTTTAAAATACAATATTGTGTTAAAATGCCTGGTAGAAAACATAAGCACCAAAATTCTTTTTTTTGTTTGGCTTTTTCATCGTGCACCGAGTAACTGATACTTTTGCAGATTTAATGACCAATACACCTGAAGATCAAACAATTAAAAAATAGACTGATTAAATTTTAGAAACATATTTTGATTCCAGTATGTTTCCTTCTAAAATGTGGACTAATTCTGAATAATGAGATTATATGGACTAAAAATGCAGTTGAATCATGTCATCGACATGATTCAATAATATATTCGACATGTTCATATAGTAATTTAAGTATTAATCAAATTATAAAGCGAAACATATTTATTTATGGACTTTCTGAACTCTCTTAAAAAAAAATTTAGGATATATTACAAAGAAATAATAGTTCTATGGAAGAAATATATAAATACTAGTATGGCGAAATAAGTCATTTAGAATATGTGAAAAAAGTTTGATTAAAAAGTCAATCAATTTATTGAAGTTATATTTATTGTCATTCATTTTTGTGTATTATAATTTATTGATTATTGAAAATTTTAAATATTTTTAAAAACTTTAATATAACTTATAAAATATTACTTCTTTTGTAAAGGATGTATTATTTTTGTACTTTTGGTGTTAATATCATACTAGCCATAACAAGTATATAATATTAGATAATTGGGGCTTGTGTCCTATACTATTTGTTGCAAATTATACGTCATATAGCTAAAATTCCGAAAGATAAACAGTTTTTTAACTGTCGGTTAAAGAGATTTATCGGTGTCGATGTGTTTTTGACTGACGGCAAATTCCTATACGAGAAGTATTGTGACATATAAGTAGGTTGTGAAAAACAATTTAATGTTACGCAACATTTAAACGATTTTCAATTAATTTTTTAAATAAATCGCTTTAAAAAAATATAAAATTATGTTTTACTGTATAATATAGGGTTTTTAAGTGCATATGCTTGTATATTTAGTGATTTTTAAAGCTACAAGTCCTCTATTCTAAGTATGATGGTAACTTTCAATTTTTTTGTATACTCAATAAAAAATGTTTGTAGAATATTTATTTTTAAGATTGATTTATTCGTTATATATTTTCATTGTAGTCATTCATTGTTTAAGATCACTCTGTTATGTTTTAGTTCAACCTGTGCTTGAATATGCAAATGCTATAAATTCCAATGAATATCGGAGTTAATAGTTATATTTAACCTATTCAGGTTATTAATTCATTTTTAACATATCGACAGTTATTATTTAAGTGTACTAAGTCGTGTTAAAAAACCTGATATATATATATATATATATATATATATGTATCTAAGTGCAATTTTGATTGATAACTTCTTTATTCTTTATTAATTATGAAATCCATTTAAAATTAAATCTATATACAATACAGTATAGATACACATAAAATATTGTATATGTATTTCAATTATAGAACATCTGTTAGATATTGTAGGTATTGAAAGGATCATTAAACTTTATTTTCCATCGTATTCATCATTGTCCTTCATTGGAGCAAAGGTTAGATTGTGGGAAACAATAGACAGTATACGTCATGCACGGATAGTTGTGCGATGTACCTTAATGTCTGTAAAAATAGAAGAGTGCATGTATCATGTGATCGAGTTATAAAATAAGGACAAGGACAACTCCATTTAATATTGCATCGAGTGACAATTTATACGAGGTAAAGTCGTCCATCCCGAACAATTATTAATATTATTGAATAACAATGAAAAATATTTACACAAAACCAGTTTGATTAAATTTTAATACGGGTGGTCTTTAAGGTACGATCACAAAGTTCAATGCACTTTTTGACATTTTTCCAATATACTTTATACATGACCGTATATAATGGCCAATAACAAATCCAATGACAATACAAAATATCACAATCATTTTGTCACGTATTAA